CCTCCCACCCCCGCAGGCTGGTGAGCGAGGTAGAGGAGCTGAACCTGTCCCTGGAGGCTCTGAGGGAGAAGCTTCTGGAAGCAGAGCAGTCCCTGCGCAACCTGGAGGACACGCGCATGAGCCTGGAGAAGGACATCGCTGTCAAGACGAACAGCCTCTTCATCGACCGCCAGAAGTGCATGGCCCACCGCACCCGCTACCCCACAGTCCAGCTGGCCGGCTACCAGTGACCGGGCAGGCACCCCGGCGGGCGCAGAGACCCATCTCCCCCTCAGATAAAGAGCATGTTAGCTTTCTACTCAGAGAGTGTACCTGGACGGGTGGGCTTTGCCTGTTGACCCCATGTTTCAGCCATGGTGGGCCAGGGGTCTCCTGCTTGGGGTGCCCCCAGTCACCACCTGGGGAGAGGGGTCAGCCAAGAACCGTCGAGGCCCCCCCCTCATTGCTCACTGCTGACCACACGGGGCACAGCCAAAGCATCTACAGTTTCTCTGCCCACCTGGGCCACCTGCTGGATGCTTCAGAGGGAGTGTGTCACTTCCTGTCACCACTTGTCACAGGCTCTGGTGGCCGCAGTGATAACTGAAGCCCTGCTCCTTTTCCTCCATGTGCCCTGGACGCTGTCACCGGAGGCCAGCCGGCACTCCCCTCATTAGTGGGGGGTGAGCCTGGAGCAGCGGTGTCAGAACACGCTGCTGGCCCAGCTTTCCCCTGAGGGACTTGGCCCCCAGGCTGTGAGGGGCCACACAGGGCGGGGCCTGGGGCAGTGACCACCGGGGGAACTGTGGGACCTCTCCCTGCCACCCCCACCTGGCACAGGGTGGGCACCAGACCCTGAGCTGGGGGAGGAGGGTCAGGGCTGGAGGGGCCTCCACCCCCAGCACCTTGGTCACCTCTGTGGCCAGGCTCCTCGTCCAGCCCCCTCCTTAGCCAGCAAGTGAGTCAGGCCGGGCTGTGGGCGGGTGGGTGAGGGCCACAGAGCCCTGCTGCCCACCTGGCCCCACACCCTGTGTCCATGGCTCTGGGCAGAACTGGGTGCAGCATCGGGCTACCCACAAGCAGGGCCAGGTGCTCTCACGGTGGCCATGAGGCCCTCTTACTGTGCCCCCTGGGGACGAGCTCCAGGCCACTGGCCCCTCGCCCACGGCAGCCCATCAACAGGACTCAGGAAGTGTCCATTAAGAGGCTGGGAAATAATAACGCGGCCGCATGCACGCCAGCCACTCAGACCCCCATTACCGCCTGAGGCCGAGGCGGGCTGGCTGTGTAGCGCAGCGTCCCCATCAGCAGCTACGAGGGCCTCCTTGTCCCCGCGCCCCACCCCTGCTGGGTGGCTGCTAATGGGGAGCTAAGTGGAGGTGCTGTGCGAAGGTCATTATCTCCAAAGCTGGGAGGGCTTGGGTACAGCCCCAGGGGGCCGGGCACTCATTGCCTGCAATTGTCTCATGACCACCCGTGAGGCTGGAAATTTTGTCCCCTTGTAGAGACAAATGACTAGGCCCTGGAGCTGATGGGTAGCTCTGGGCCACATGGCAAATTCCCGAGGCTGTGGCTGCGTCTCACTGGAGAATTAGCCTCCCTGGGGAGTCTGGAGGGTGGCCAGACGGCTACACCCACCCACAGGGATTCGGCCCCTGCAGGAGTGGGGAGCGGGGAGTCACGGGGGGGGGACATCAGGTCTCTGAGAGTGGCTGAAGCCTGCGGCGTTTCCATCCACCACAGAGCACACTCTGGCCACTCTGAGTCCACTGGTGCCCATTTAACAGGTTGGGAAACTGAGGTCAGACGCAGGGAGCAGCAGAGCTTGGGTGTCTGCCCTTCTCTGGGAGCCCCAGGAGCCCCAGAGACAAAAGTGGGGCAGGCAGAGAGGAGCTTCCGCAGGTTGACTGAGGCCAGTCAGCAGCTCCCGCCGGAGCCTGGACTAACCCAGCCCTGGGTGACGCCTACAGAAAGCCCTCCATCCAGGCCACCCACATCCAGATTCCAGCAGTGGTTGCTGACAAGGCGTGGGAGGCCACCGAGCCCCACTGGAGTGTGAACTGGCATCTCAGGGAGGCCGGGGATATCTGGGAACCGGCTCCAGCTGGCATGATCTCCTGACCACAGCCCTCACCAGCTCTGCTCCCCTTCAGCCTGGCACGAGAAGCCCCTCAGTCTTGCCCTCTACCCTCATCCTTGCCTCCTCCCTGGTCATCAGTGAGGAGTGCCAACATGGGGAGCCTGAGGGGAGAGCAGGACCCTGGGCTGTGCCTGCATCTGCAGAGGCGAGAGAGCCAGCCCCAGCTGCCCATGGCCTGTCTTCCGGCACAGTGGCCAGAGCTCCACAGGCCACATCTGTGCCTCCCTCTGCCAGGCAGCCTGGCTTGGTGGTGGGGGGGGGGGCGCTTCCCAGGGAGTCACATGTCCCCATGCTCAGAGGCTGAGGCGCCAGGCCCTGCCCCTGGACCTAGCATCCAGCTGCTCAGGCCCAGAGCAAGCATGAGGCCAGGCCCTGGTGTGGGCGTAGCCCATGCCTGCCGCTGCCCGGGGGGCCCTGTGAGTCATTCCTGCCAGGGGGGTGGCATCACAAGGACACAACCCTTATCCACTGAAAGGCTGGGCTAATGCCGAGGGCCCCCAACACGGTGTCATGGCAGGCCTCTTGCCCCGCTGGGCACCGTGGCCCTGGGAGGGTGCAGCTGGAGGTGGAGGCAGACACAATGGGCCTGGCCCGACGTTTCTCTCCCGTGCTTCACCCGAAAGGCTCAGCCCTCCTGTCCCAGCCAGAGACAGGAGGGCATCACCGTCGCCAGGTGGGCTCAGCACAGACATGGTGGTCTGTCTCCCCTGACTTTGGCCTCCAGCCTCCTCACCCAGGAGCCTCCCTGACTCCTCTCTAAGTCACTGCACCCCAGACAGAGGATGGCTGCCAGCTCATGGTTTCACCCCCAACCCCCCAGTCCCAGACACCCCAGGCCCTCAGAGCCATACTGTGGCCCATGGGCTGTCAGGAGGATACTGGAGCCCCCGTGGCAGGGCTGCACTGATGTTGCGGCAGGTGGCAGGCTGGGCGGTGGGTGGCAGGGCCACGTGAGCCTCCTGCCTGGGAGCTCTGAAGCTGGCCTGAGGCCTGCTGGTCTTGGATGGCCCAGAGGGAAGCCATGGGCACCTGGGGCGGGCATGAAAGAGCTCTTTCATGGGCCACTGGGTAGAGATGCCAGAGACGCCAGGCAGGCAGCAGCACCCGATCGTGAAATGGTAACAGGGAGGGTGGGGGTGGGTGGGGGTCTTCACAGCCATCCTGAGCAGGGCCAGGTGGCCAGGATGCCTGGGACCCCAGACCTCTGGGGGAACAAGGTAAGGGCCCCAGCAACACAGGCCTGTCTGTGGAGTGGGCTCCCCAGGAGATACCCACTCCTGTAAGGTTCCTCCACAGGAGGAAATCAGGAGGGTCTTGCAGAGTCCAGTGGGGCTAGGGGGGTGGGTGAGGGTCTGCTAGGCTCTGAGGGGGAGGTGGTGGAGAGGAGGGCTCCCACCTGCCAGGGAAGCTCAGCCTGGGAGTGGGTCTCAGACCTACTATGTAAGAAGAAGGCTGAGGGCCTACTAATGTAAGAAGAAGGCTGAGCCCTCTTCCCTGAGGGCTTCCTGGAAGAGGGAGCCTGAGTCTTTGCTCAGCATGGCTAGGGTACAGGGAAGAGTGAGGACCCCGACCTCACACGCCTGCCCTTGCAGGAGACCAACACTGGCTGAGCCTCTCATACGTACAGGGGGAAACCAGGGCAGGCAGGGCCCACTTGCCAGGGAAACTGAGGCCCAAATGATGTGGGGCTCACCCAGGGCCCCCCAGCAGCTGCTGGTTGAGCCGGAAAGTGGAGCCTCCACCTGGCATGGATGAGCCAGGTGTCAGGCAGTGTCTCCCGAAGGAGAGGAGGTGGAGGCGAGAGGCCTAGGACTGGTAGGGCTTAAAGACCATCTTACCCACAGACGGGAGGGGGCCACATGGGATAGCCCCCCAAGTTACCTGCAGGGGCCTGGCCTGGCCCACGGGAGGTCAGGATGAGGGTGCCACCCTCTGCCAAGCTAGGCAGCCCGGCAGAAACTGCCTCATGTCTGACCCCAACCACCTGGGCCCCGGGCCCAGCCACTGGTGGGTGGGGTGCTGCCGTTCCCTGAAGCAGCCTAGCTGTCCCTCCTGGAGGGCTCTGGCCAGCCCAGGTGGGTGGGGGACTTAGAGGGCTGTGTCAGAGCCCGCACCTCCATACAGCTCTCCCTGCATCTACGAGGTGCGGGGTCTCCAGCCATGGGGGGTTTGGGGACCGGGACTCCCCAACTATAGGCAGTTAGGGTGCCTGCTACTGCCCAGAGCTAAGGCCCTAAGGCCCCAAGGAGGGAGGCAGCTATGGGGAGGAGGGAGCAGCCCCAGAGAAGGAATAGAAGCACCAGCTCCCATGGGGTGGGGCTGCCTTGGTCACTCACTGGGGCTCTGGAAGGGCAGGTGTGAATTGTTCCCCGTGCTGGCCCCTCCGATCGATGGTGGTCCCCAGGTGCTGTGTTGGGGATGCTGAGGCCACATCCAGGTCCAGGGGAAAGCGTGTGGGGATCCATTAGTGATGTCTGTCGGGGCAGGGGTCTGAGTGTCCAGGAGGGCTCTGCCAGGTGCCCTGTCTGGTGCAGGATGAGGCTCTGGCCACGCCCACTGCAGCCCCTCCAGGGGTCCCAACTGTCCATCCTCACCCAGGCAGCTCCCTGGTCCCACCAGCACACTGTCTCCCCCACACAAGGGGGCACAATTGGGCTGCTGAGGGGGTGGGGGCTCAGCAGGGGTGTCCCCTCTCCACTCCCCGTTTCCCTCCCCCGTCCTCTTCCTCCCGACCCAGCCTCTGCTCTCCTGCTCCTGCTGATGCTGCCCGCAGGGGCCTGGCCTGGCCTGGGGCCGCCCTGCTGGCTGTGTATGCACTGCAGCTGCCCACCCTGGCCCCCAGCTGCCCCCAGCCCGCACGCCCGCATGCCCGCACGCCCGCATGAGCGACGGGGGTGAGTGGGTGGGACTGCCCCACGTGCGGCCCACCGTCGACATCTCGATCCTCAAAGGTGAGTGTTCCTGGAGAGGCGGCCCCACTGCCCCCAGCCCTGCAGGGACACTCCGCAATGAGGGGCATAGGAAGAGAGGCAGGAGAGCAGGGCAACGGCCCAAGGCTAGCTCTGGGAAGGCTGGGCCCCAGGGGGGCACACAAGGGCCTGCTCCCTGTTCCCCATAGCGGCCTCCTCCTGTGGGAAGCAGGGTGCCCTGGGGAAGGGGCTGTGGATTGGGGGGGATGGTGGGGGGGTGGCAGGTGGGGCTGAGTTTCCCTTCAATCCTGCTCCCCCACCCCAAGTGGAGGTGGGAAGGGGGTCTGGGAGCAGCGCCCCCTTTGAGAGGCAAGACAGGCTGAGCTCTAAGAGGGAGGCACCCTGAAGGCTGGACAGAGGCCACACTGAGGTTGGATTTGTTACCAACTTCCCAGGCCTCTCCTCCTCCAAAACCCCTCTGACAGCTACTGGACCCCCATCATCCCCGCCGTCCCAGCCATCCCCATGTGACCATCTGCACAGGCCAAGGAACTGCCAGGACCTCAGGGTGTGGCTTCTTTCTCATTGCCCTGTGGAGGGCGGGTTAGCGCCCACCTGACAGATGAGACTGAGGCTCACAGAGGTGAGGTCACTTGCAAGGCCGTGTGGCCAGAGAATCTGACCCTTGAAACCTTGACCAGGGGCTTCCCCTTACCCGCACCCCCTCACAGGTGAGAAGGATGAAGCAGGGGTCAGAGGCCGCTCCAGCAGGAGCAGGAAGGAGGGCCCGCCCGGCTCCCGGGGCCTCCGTGGCCACAAGGGCCAGAAGGGGCAGGTGGGGCCGCCGGGCACCCTGTGCCAGCATGCCTATGTGGCCTTCTCGGTGGGCTGGCGAGAGGGGCTGCACAGCACCGATGCCCTCCAGGCTGTGCCCTTCGACATGGAGCTGGTGGACCTGGACGGTGCCTTCGACCTGGCCTCCGGCCCCTTCCTCTGTGCCGTGCCCGGCGTCTACTTCCTGAACCTCAACGTGCACACCTGGAATTACAATGAGACGTACCTGCACATCACGTGCAACCGGTGGGCCGCAGCCATGCTATATGCGCAGCCCAGTGAGCGCAGCATGATGCAGACACAGAGCCTGCTGCTGGCGCTGGCCGAGGGTGACGCTGTCTGGGTGCGCATGTCCCAGAGGGATGGCGACAACGCCATCTACAGCGAGCGCGGTGACCTCTACATCACCTTCAGCTGCCGGACGCTGAGCTCTAGCAGCTCCAACGCCACATCCAGCCCTCAACGGCAGTCGTTCCCAGAGCCCTGCAGCCCAGGACTGATGCCAGCTGAGATGGAGCACCAACTGCATGCAGACGCTGAGCTGAACACAGGGCTGTGGCAGGAGCAGGACAGACCCGGGCCTGCCCTGCTGGAGATGACACAGATGAAGGTTTCACACCAAGACATTCAGGAAGCAGACCCTTGTTCCAGGCACGTGGTGGGTGGGGGATGGGGGGTGGGCCGGAGCACCTCCACACGCGATGGAGTTTGCTCCCCTGGTCGAGCTACTTATTCTGCATATAAAGGCTGTGCCAGGAACCACTGCCATGGAGAGCTTTACAAAGCACCTATTGGATGCCGGGCTGGTTGCTAGGGAGGCTGCAGTGTTGGGGGGGAAGGGGGTCAAGTGCAGATGCCGGCCCTCCTGGAGCCAACTCTAGCAGGAAGCATGATGGATTCCAGGGTGTTCGAGGGCAGCAGAGGCCACAAGACAGGATGAAATGGAGCAGGTTAGGGTGCTGGCCCGGCCGGGACGGGTCTCGTCCTTGGTGAACACGCCACCAGCCCTGGTGGGCTGATTTTCTGGGGCTCAGCATCCCCTTGTCTGTCTGGAATGGGCTGGAAGGGGGAGGAAGCTCATACCTGGATGTGCACCTGAGCCCAGGGAGCCCCAGACCCCCACGGTGTCACCTCCTACTTAGGTGTGCTGATGCTGGGCCTGGCGGCAATGGGAAGTGACCAGGCTGGCCTCGTTCCTGCAGATGGGTGTGGCTGGACTTTGGCCATGCTCACTCCACAGGAAGCCCCTGTCCACCCCATGGTTGGAGCCATCAGGCTACCCCACCCTCGAGTCCACTCTGAATCTTTCCTTTCCTGCTATGTGTCCTCTGGCCACTCTGGGACCTTCTGTCCAGCCCCTGTGGCCCCATCGCCTGCTGCCTCCCCTCTGGCCCTGCCCTGGCATCCCCTCCTGCAGCTGCTCCATTCCGAATGAGGGTTCTGGGCCAGTGAGGCTGCTGGGGCCCTGGCAAGAGCAGCGTCTGGAATCACCAGAGCCTGGCGAGCTGGCTGAGGTCCCGGGCCATGCAGAGGTGGCTGGAGCTGCAGACTGGCTGGGCTGAGCAGGCCAGGGCCTTCCAGGTGCTGGACAGGCATGGGGGTTTCCACCTCAGGGTCTTGGGCCCACAGAATGCCGGCCTGGCTGATCCTGTCTCCTCATCACGTCCTACCCCTGCCCCCACTCCTTCCCACCAGGAGCCCAAAGCATCCTGAGATGGATCTCTCACTGGCTGGGGGCCCCACATCCACCTGGCCCTGGCAGATCCTCTCCAGATCATCATCGGCTGACGGGAGAGGTGGGGAGGGGGTGGGGGCCCACTCATCCTTTTCACAAACAGGCACCTCCTTGTCCCCAGGGAGGGGACACAGCTGGGATCACAGTGACCCTCCCCTGCCACCACAGAACTCAGTTATCCCTCAGGAGCATCAACCCTGAGTGAGGCTGGAGCCAGGAATGTCCCACACCCACCCGTGAACAGCAGAGCCCACTCTCCCAAACACACAGGCCAGGCCAGGCCACGCCCTTGACAGGTGGGGAAACTGAGGCCTGACAAGGGGGTGTAGACCCCCAAGCCTGTGTGGGCTGGGAGCTGGTCCCCTCCATGGACTGGGCTGTCTCCCCTAGTATGGCCTGGGACAGTGGGGGAGGCAGGAGACGGGCCCCCACTGGGGAGGGGCTGCTGGGACTCCCTGTCTGCAGGGGGAGGGGGCTTTTTTTTTAAATATCTTTATTGGAATATAATTGCTTTACAATGGTGTGTTAGTTTCTGCTTTATAACAAAGTGAATCAGCTACACATATACATATATCCCCATATCTCCTCCCTCTTGCATCTCCCTCCCACCCTCCCTATCCCACCCCTCTAGGAGGTCACAAAGCACTGAGCTGATCTCCCTGTGCTATGCGGCTGCTTCCCACTAGTGATCTATTTTACATTTGGTAGTGTATATATGTCAATGCCACTCTCTCGCTTTGTCCCAGCTTACCCTTCCCCCTCCCTGTGTCCTCAAGTCCATTTTCTACGTCTGCATCTTTACTCCTATCCTGCCCCTAGGTTCTTCAGAACCTTTTTTTTTTTTTTTAAGATTCTATATATCTGTGTTAGCATACGGTATTTGTTTTTCTCTTTCTGACTTACTTCACTCTGTATGACAGACTCTAGGTCCATCCACCTCACTACAAATAACTCGATTTCGTTTCTTTTTATGGCTGAGTAATATCCGTTGTATATATGTGCCACATCTTCTTTGTCCATTCGTCTGTGGATGGACACTTAGGTTGCTTCCATGTCCTAGCTGTTGTAAATAGAGCTGCAGTGAACATTGTGGTACATGACTCTTGTTGAATTATGGTTTTCTCAGGGTATATGCCCAGTAGTGGGACTGCTGTGTTGTATAGTTCTATTTTTAGTTTCGTAAGGAACCTCCATACTGTTGTCCATAGTGGCTGTATCAATTTACATTCCCACCAACAGTGCAAGAGGGTTCCCTTTTCTCCACACCCTCTCCAGCATTTATTGTGTCCAGAGTTTTTGATGATGGCCATTCTGACCGGTGTGAGGTGATACCTCACTGCAGTTCTGATTTGCATTTCTCTAATGATTAATGATGTTGAGCATCCTTTCATGTGTCTGTTGGCAACCTGTATATCTTCTTTGGAGAAATGTCTATTTAGGTCTTCTGCCCATTTTTTGATTGGGTTTTTTGTTTTTTTGATATTGAGCTGCATGAGCTGCTTGTAAATTTTGGAGATTAATCCTTTGTCAGTTGCTTCATTTGCAAATATTTTCTCCCATTCTGAGGGTTGTCTTTTCGTCTTGTTTATGGTTTCCTTTGCTGTGCAAAAGCTTTTAAGTTTCATTAGGTCCCATTTGTTTATTTTTGTTTTTATTTCCATTTCTCTAGGAGGTGGGTCAAAAAGGATCTTGCTGTGATTTATGTCATAGAGTGTTCTGCCTATGTTTTCCTCTAAGAGTTTTATAGTGTCTGGCCTTACATTTAGGTCTTTAATCCATTTTGAGTTTATTTTTGTGTATGGTGTTAGGGAGTGTTCTAATTTCATTCTTTTACATGTAGCTGTCCCGTTTTCCCAGCACCACTTACTGAAGAGGCTGTCTTTTCTCCATTGTATATTCTTGCCTCCTTTATCAAAAATAAGGTGACCATATGTGCGTGGGTTTATCTCTGGGCTTTCTGTCCTGTTCCATTGATCTATATTTCTGTTTTTGTGCCAGTACCATACTGTCATGATTACTGTAGCTTTGTAGTTAGTATTGTCTGAAATCTGGGAGCCTGATTCCTCCAGCTCCATTTTTCTTTCTCAAGATTGATTTGGCTATTTGGGGTCTTTTGTGTTTCCATACGAATTGTGAAATTTTTTGTTCTGGTTCTGTGAAAAATGCCATTGGTAGTTTGATAGGGATTGCATTGAATCTGTAGATTGCTTTGGGTAATATAGTCATTTTCACAATGTTGATTCTTCCAATCCAAGAACACGGTATATCTCTCCAACTGTTTGTATCATCTTTATTTTCTTTCGTCAGTGTCTTACAGTTTTCTGCATACAGGTCTTTTGTCTCCATAGGTAGGTTTATTCCTAGGTATTTTATTCTTTTTGTTGCAATGGTAAATGGGAGTGTTTCCTTAATTTCTCTTTCAGATTTTTCATCATTAGTGTATAGGAATGCAAGAGATTTCTGTGCATTAATTTTGTATCCTGCAACTTTACCAAATTCACTGATTAGCTCTAGTAGTTTTCTGGTGGCATCTTTAGGATTCTCTGTGTATAGTATCGTGTCATCTGCAAACAGTGACAGCTTCACTTCTTCTTTTCTGACTTGGATTCCTTTTATTTCTTTTTCTTCTCTGATTGCTGTGGCTAAAACTTCCAAAACTATGTTAATAATAGTGGTGATAGTGGATACCCTTGTCTTGTTCCTGATCTTAGAGGAAATGGTTTCAGTTTTCACCATTGAGAACGATGTTGGCTGTGGGTTTGTCATATATGGCCTTTATTATGTTGAGGTATGTTGGGAGGGGGCTTTCTGTCAGCAGCCCACCCCAGGGCCTGGGCCTGCAGCCTCCCTTGACGGCTGTGACGGTCCCACCGAGGCTGGATCTCGGCCAGCTCTGGACCAGGATAGGGGCTCCTGGCGTCCCAGGTATGAGACCCTCACATCCCATGTGCAGGCCCTACAGCCCCATGAGGAAGCTGAGACTCAGAGGCGTGGGTCCCTGAGCTCAGGCCTGGGCAGGGCAAGCCTGTGACTCCAGATCCCAAGCACCGGCAGGGGTCTGTACCACAAGATGCATAGCATCAGGGTCTCAAAGGGCTTCCTGCCCCCAGGAGCCCCAAGGCCCGACTAGGCCCAGCCGTGGCACATGGCAGGTGGCAGCAAGATTCTGGGGGGCTTGTTACAGCGAAGGGGTCAGGGGTTGGAGTAGGACATTCTGACTGGTGAGGCCCTGGCCCCACTAGAGACTAGAGGGTGCTGGGTGGGACCTCGGGAAGCCAGAGGGAAGGCCGGGACCCCTCTCCCCAATCTACATCCTGGGACCTGGCCCCTCCCGGGATGCTGAGTTGGGCTGAGAAGCCTCAGGCTGCACTTTGGCCCTTTGGCCTGTGTCCTTTTATGGCTGGAATAGCTGGACACGCCCAAGGTGCTTGGCAACCATCAGGGTATCAGGAGCCACTTCAGAGCGCTAATGGGGGCCGTGGTGGCTGGGAAGGTTCCACTGTAGAGATAAAGGTGCCCGAACAGGAGTGCGGGGGTTTGGAAGGACCCCAGCGTCCCTCTCTCCTCCCAGGTCCTGGACTCCCCTGCCACCCTGACAGGGACCCAGACCCACTGCATGCTGCAGGCCAACCTGGCTGGGCGGGGCCAGGAGAGCAGCCCCTGTCTAGCAGCTTCAGACAAAGCCTGGGCTCTTTCTGGCTCCTTGTGTGGCCTCAGCTCCCCTGTCCGGTATCAGGGTGCAGAGCCCTCCATGCTGCACTGGGCACTGAGGGTGCAGGGCCGGGGTGGGCATTCCCGTGAAGGCTTCAGACCCCGTGGCTGCTCGGCCTCCCTCTCACTCTGTCCACGGTGCCTGGAAGGGAGGTGCTGGGGCAGCTTGGCTGAGCCTCCCGGGACAGACCCTGCTCCCAGCTGCTGACCCAAGAGAGCAGAGCAGGTCAGGCCAGAGGGTGTCTGACCAACTCCAAATCCAAGGCCACCCCCATGTTCAGAGAACCAGGGGCGGGGTGGGGGCTCCCCTTAGTGTGGCCGAGAACCCCTCGGAAGCAGCCGGCCAGAGCCTCAGAGCACAGGGATGTGCCAGGGGACACTGTGGGTGGGTCCAGGGCAAGGCGGCGGTGCCTGCATCCCCCCAGCCCAGGTTTATTTAAAAACAGTGACTGAGAACAGGGTGGGATGAGGTGAAGTTGTAATCTCTGCAAAGTGACGAGCAGCCCGAGACTCAGAAATCCGCATGCCCAAGATGCTGCCCTGACCGCTTAGGAGATGAGAAGGGAAATGGCCCCAGTCAGAGCAGCAGCCTCTAGGCCCCCTCTGCGGGGCCTCGGTGGAATCAGGACTGGCCTGCTGCAGGAGAAGAAAGCTGGAAAAGACTAGAATACAGGGCAGCCTGAGAGATGGATCCTGCGGGAGCCAGTTTCCCATATCAGTTTATCCATTTGGTGGAATTCCAACAAGACACCCATTTTTAAAACTTGGGTGAAATTCATATACCATAAAATCTACCATTTTAAAGTGAACAGTACAGTGGCATTTAGTACATTCACAGCGTCGTGCAACCCACATCTCTATCTGGTTCCAGAACGTTTTCATCACCCCACAGAAATCCCGAACCCGCGAGCTGGCACTCCCACCCCTGCCCCCAGCCCCTGCTTTCTGTCTATGGATTTGCCGCTTCTGGACATTTTGTGTAAGTGGAATCACAAACTCTGTGGCCTCTTGTGTCCGTCCGTGTTGTAGTATGTGCTGGCACCTCACCCCCACCGTGCGGATGGACCACGGTTTGTCTGTTCACCTGTCGATAAACATTCAGGTCGTTCCTACCGTCTGGCTATCGTCTGTGCTGTGGTGAACATCTGCCTATAACACCCATTTTCTAACTTTGTAAAACAGTGTTGAAGGGTGCTTGGAGGAATGGGTAGGCAGGAACCAGCTCAGTTCTGTGCGCTCTCTTGGACATGGAAACAGATTTGGAAGATATGGTGATGAGTGCAGTGACCACCAGGCAGACAACAGGAACCCCCAGAGGCCAGTCACCCAGGGGACAAGAGCCCGAGGTACCAGCGGGGTTGGGATGAGGGGGTGTTTGCGTTCAAGGGTCACCTCATGGACTAAAGCAGATATCAGTGAAGTAGAGAGTTGTCAGCAATACAACCATTAAAAATATGTGGGACAGGGCTTCCCTGGTGGCGCAGTGCTTGAGAGTCCGCCTGCCGATGCAGGAGACGCGGGTTCGTGCCCCGTTTCGGGAGGATCCCACATGCCGCGGAGCGGCTGGGCCCGTGAGCCATGGCCGCTGAGCCTGCGCGTCCGGAGCCTGTGCTCCGCAAATGGGAGAGGCCACGACAGTGAGAGGCCCGCATAACGCAAGAAAAACAAAAACAAAAACAAAAACAAAAAAACTACCAAATACACATTTCTTTGTTCAGGTATAGAAGAGTTTATTTTCAAAAAAAAAAAAAAAAAAAAAATATGTGGGACACATACAACGCACAACAGCCTAAAAGTGGGAACATCCAGGTTATCTATCGATGATGAACCGATAAAGTGTTGTTGGTCCCTCCATACACACTTTATGGAGTGTGTATTGTACCACAACTAAAAAATACATGGGAATATTTAGCTAATTTCTGGATGGGAAAGACATCTCTTTTTTTTTCAAAAGGAGGAATTTCCCAGGCAGAAGAGGGATAGTTTGATTTTGTAAAAATAGAAAATATTGTTCTGCCTCAGTCCCGAAGCCAAAACTCACGACGCCAGGAAGTGCTCCTGCCTTGGGGAGAGCAAGGGTGGGGTTCCTGCCTTCTAACGAGCCCCCAGATGGACGGAGAAATCTTGAGAGGAGAGGAGATTCATCCGTGAAGGAAGGAGTGCTCCTTCTATACCGACCACCAAGGGCATTGCGTCCAGATATTGTTTCCAAGCTGCCTGATCACCACCATCATCTGTGTCCCTCAGGGAACCCGTGGGCTGGGCCTCGTGGGCCCCAGCAGGATGGCTCCAGAGGACACATGGGCAGACAGGTCCACTGTCCAGAGGGCCGAGAAGGCCGCAGCCATGGGTCAGGAGAAGGAAACCCAGCAGCGCAGCTCAGGGGAGGCTTGGTCCCCTCCCCTTTGCATCAACAGCTTCCAGACCCTGCCTGGTCCCAGGCACCCCTTAGCATGGCCCCTGGGGGCTCAGCTAGGAGGGAGGGTAGGACCCAGGCTCCAGTGTGGGGAGAGGTCAGGGGACCCTGGAAGCTGACCCTCATCCTAGGGCCGCCCTCTCAGGCCTGATGATCACAAGGGCACGGACCCCTACAGACCAGGCCACCTTTCAGGTGCCCAGCAATGGGAGCCTGGCAGCGTGTGGGAAGGGGGAAGGGAGAGGGTGGGCACTCCGTCCCCAGAACGGCTGCTGCCTTCGGCTGCAGGAGGGCCGTGGGTCTCCTTGTCCTGATAGCCCCATCCCCCACCCACCAGGTGGTAAAACTACCCACCCACCACTCTGCAAAACGTCCTTTAATTAAACCCTCCTCAAACTGCCCAAACGGAGGGGACACTTGTTTCCTGGGGGGCGGGGGGGGACAAGTGGGGGGCGTGGGGAGCCACTCGGGGTGGGAGCAGAAGGGAATCATGGCCAGTCCCCACTGCCCAGTGGCCAGGTTCCTCCATCTGGAGAGCCGGCCCCTGTGGATGGCACCAGGAGGACCATGCCCCTCCCCCTCCTGGGGCGCCCCGGTGCTTACACCCACAGGCCCAGCGCCCTATACCCCGTAGCCACGGTCAGCTGTCAGTGCAGATGTCACGGAAGAGAGTGGCTGAGAAAGGGCCTCAACCCCCCTCCCCAGAGGCAGGGGCCAGGGGAGGGAGGTTTGCTCAGGCAGAGACCCTGCTGCCCCCAGTGTGGGGACCCACGCAGATGGAGCCCCCAGACCCCCATCAGTGCAGATACAACAAATGCATAGCTGTCACCACCACGTCCAGATATGTAGCCTGAGGGAGTGGGGATGGGGTGGGCCTGGGACAGGGAGGAGCAAGGACCCTGGAGAGGGGTGAGAGCTCGGGGAGGGAAGGACGGAGACGGGGACCCCAGTCAGGCTCCTGGACAGTCACTGGACCTTCAAGGTAAGGACCCCAACTGGACAGAGCTTCCATCACTCAATTATCAATCAATTATCACATCAATCACTCAGTTATTCATTCAGCAAACACACTTCAGGTTCATGGTGGCCAGACCAGCCCTCAGGAGCCAGGATAGCATGGGCCAGTCTGTACAGGACAGCAGCGGAGGCGAGGCAGCACTTTAGGGCTGGGATCCCCCATCAGCCAGGATGGAGGGGGGTCATGGACCCAGCAGTCTCTCCAGGTCCTCAGCCCACCCAGTCCTTGAAGTCCAGGGTTCTGCTGGGGCCCTGACAGGTGACCAGCCAAAACCCTATTCTCAACGTCGATCACCTCCCTGACACTCCCAAAGGGTGTCCCAGCTCTCAGCCTCCAGATTCCTGTGGGAAGTTCTTCCCGGTGTCTACCCATGGTCTGCCCTTCTCCTGTCCCAAAATGCCCAAGAGGGTGGGCCCTTCCTGACCCTTCCTTGGGGCCCTACCCAGGGCACCCCTCACTCAGCTCTCAGGGTGGGCCAGCCTTGGTCTCCCTCACTGTGGGGCTACAATACCGGCTCTGCCTGTAGGGGCTGCGCCTCTGTCACCCACCCCTCCCACCCTGCACCCCCCCTGCCTGGCAAACAGCACCCCCCAATCCCGATCCCAGAGGAGGCCTCACCCTGCCCCGCAGGCCGGATTTCCCGAGTAAGGTCACTCTGGGAGCCACTGGAGCCCAGTGGCCAATAAAACCCATCGATGCGGAGAGAGAGACAGTAAAGCAGGTCACCCCCCGAGGGCATTTGCTCTCCCCGCCCCCTGCCCCACTCAGGGCCTGTGGACCCGAGATCTGCAAGCAGTGTGGTGGCTCTGTGGTCCCTGCAGCTGTGCCCAGCCTGTGCTGGGTGCGGAGGGCAGTGGCCAGTCCAGGCTGCATCCCCAGGCCCACCGTGCCATGTCCACAGCTCCCTGGGCTCACGTTTCTCCTGGAACACTCCTGTCCCCGCTTCCCTACAGGCTCTCAGGGGTGCCTAGTCCTCACTTCCTCCCATTCGGTGTCCCACCATGGCCAGTCCTGGTCACCAGCTCCCACCCAGACCCAGGGTCCATGGGCTGCCTGGAATCAGCTCCTCCACCCACTGGGTCCATCAGGCTCTGGGCACACACACAGGTACACACGTGTCTACACATGCACTCACACACAGGCACACACACTCACAAGCAGACACATGCACATGCATACACACCCACACGTTCACACATATATACACACAGGCACATGCACGCACAGAGGCACATACACACACACACTCACACAGAGGCACACATGCACACACACTCACGCCCCTCACAGGCAGGACTGGTCAGGTTGCTGCTGGTGTCTGCAGTCCCCACACGGGCACTCTTGGCTGGCGCTACCCTGGGGAGGGAGATCAAGATGCCAAATCAATTGGGAGAAATTGACCTGGGCAGATATTTCTGAGCCATCTGCTTGCTCCCCCAAATTATTCTGAGTGGATGCACTTTGCATCCGAACCCAGGGGTGGTGGGAAGTGGTTGGTTGAACGAACCTGTTTCTCCCAGGCACCCATCCCTCCCTGGGATGCTGGTCCCCCTAGGGCCGGGCGGGGGTGGCTTTAGTCACCCCCACCCCCAAGATGGAGCCCAGGAGTGGCAGAGACAGCCTGGGGCTCAGGAGGCGGCCGCGTTCCCACTTGATCAGGGATGGGGGCAGGGGCCCCAAAAGAGCCACCCGCTCTCCGCACCCACCAGCCACGGAAGAATCAGATGCATCCCCTGCATCCTCTGGGGCCAAATCCTAACCCTGCCACCCCAAGGAGGCAAGCCGGGACAGCCCCAGCCCTGTCGCTCCTTTTGGTTGGCTTGTGTACACTTTCCCCTGCCTTATCATCTAAGTGTCCCGCTGCCCACTTCCAGCTGGGTGTTTGCCTACCCCCATCCAGCCGAGTATGATCCACTTGCTCTGATTTGCACTGGCTTCAATCGGCTCCCGGAACAATATTTGCTCTGGGAAA